CTGAGAAATGGTTGTCCTGAGATACAGCTGAATCCCTGGTAAACCCTGTTGTGAAATCTTGCTGGCGGCCAATTGATAAAACGTAGCTGTAAATTACCAGTTGCTAAATACTTATCCTAGAGGCAAAGTTGTTCCAAACTTAAACTTTTAACTCAGATACTGGCTCCTCTGTGAAGTCAGGGAGGGCTGCGAAACAGCTGCTTTAAACACTGAAGCTGGAGTGGGTGCTGCAGAGACTGAGAGCTCAATCCATGGCATGCCAGGATCACCTCTCCCTCCGACAAAGGAGCAGTCCTTGTGGATTTTAGCTCGGGCATCTTGGCTGGGAGGTTAAGGAGACGCAGAAAGTTTTGTTGAGACAGGAGTGCAGGCATTTTAAGGGCTCTGGGAAGACGTGCTGGGAATCCCAGGACCAGACCTCCTGAGGGTTCTCCCAAGTCTGTTCCAGGAAATGCCTCCTCCATTTCGCCATGCTCAGTGCCCTCCGTGCACAGGAATTCTCCAAAGTCCTCTGCTGAGGAGGAAGCCGGGCTGCTGCCGGGCAGTTCTGTCTGTTGATCTTCCAGGGGATAGCCGGGGCCAGAGCTCAGTGTGAGGAATGTCCCTGTACCGAGACATTCACAGGTAAATAGGGTTGAAGCGGAACCTGTGCCTTGCTGTTTACTCTCAAGTTTTATTGCTCCGGGCAGCAGTTACGGTAGCAGCTCCTCCTGCTACGGGATTGACTCCTCCACCGCTTATACTGGTCTAGAGCCAAAAGCTGCTAGTCAGAAATTGGTGTCACTGAGTTGATATGAGCATTTAGTACGTGTGGAATAACAGCGGCTTTCACCTCAGAAATCTGCCTTGAGATAGGAGGAGGAGGACGGCAGGAAGGGATGTGGTAGGGATCCAGAAAAGCCATAACAAGCGTATGTCAGGGCAGGATTGCGATGCGCTTGCTGAGCTGGGAGGCTGCACAGCATCTGCCGGCTGTGGACCGACATGAGCTCTCCTCCAGGTTTACATCTGCGGTAGCTCACTCGGTTTTCCCTGTATCTGGAAGAAGTTGTCATCTGTTGTCTGACTTGCCAGCTGCAGCAAGCCTTGCTTCGAGAACAGTGAATTTGGTGTGGACTTTACCCTTAGAAGCAATGAATGATGTCAGGCTGCAGTCTGTCGTCTTCAAACCCACTGCCTTCACCTGGAAGGAACAGCAGTGCTTGTAGTTCATCCAGGTCCATCCTGGGAACGTACTTTGTGAAGTGTTATTTCCTGATTGCAAAGTGCAAGTTCTGAGTCACCACCGCAGATATAACTAACAGGCAGTCTCTTTTCCTTGCAGCTTCTTGTTTCTCTGCTGTTCTTCTCGCTCATGGATCTCATCTCAGCAAAAATAGCACCAAAGGTAAATTCAGCCCTGGGGGAATTCTCATGACACTAAATGTGTCTGATCCACTTGGTTTGCTGCCTAAAAATGCATTGTACCGGCGCTGTGGAGGCTGGTAGCTTGTTCTGCCGGAAGGAGGGCATCAGCAACATCCCAGACAGAGCCTGCTGAAAGCCCTTCTGTTCCTATCAGATTAAATCTGTATCTTCCTCTAACTGACATTATCTCCCCTTTCACTACGGTAGCTTTTATTTCTCTTCATGAATGACTTACTATTTGCAGTTCCCTTTAGACTTTACCCCTCCCAGGTAGCGCAGGGACCTCATCTCTCTCCCTTAGCTTTTGCGTAGCAGTTCACATTTGTTAGATGACGTTCTTCCTCAGGCTGGAATTTCACAGGAGAATTCACGTGGTATTTCATGGGAGAAGGGGTCCCCAGCAAGGAGGAACGCCGGTTTCCAAATGATTTAACGCTATTAAATGAGGGAGCAAAGATGACAAGTTTCTTCCAGCAGCGGTCTGCCCTAAGCATCCTCCCGCCTAGGAATGCTTGTTTCTGTCCCTTCGCTGTCTTCTCAGCTTTGAAGTGCAGCCGTTTGTGTAGTCACCTAACGGATTGGATCAGGGAGCAGACTCATGTTAAAAATAATCATTTGGTCTCATCGTCCGCCTTGGGGAGAGTCTGGAGGAAGAGCCATTGAGGGGAAAAAAAACATCTTGAGCAAACAGATCTGGGAGGTTATTCCAAGTAAAATGAGTAATGTAAAAAAACAAAAACAAAAAAAACCCCAAAAACCCAAACCAATCCCGAGACGTGCTGTCACTAGATGGGTTAGAGGGGAAAAAACCTGCTCTGGGGAGCAGGGTGGGGTTGGTGCAGGACGTGCAGTGGCTCCGTGCTGAGCACCGCTGGGAAGCGTGCTGGTGACGAGCCGGTTGCTCATCGAGACCGCTTCCCCCTCTCTCACAAATCGTTCTCAGCTGAGCCCTGTCACGGCCTGGTTTGGTGACGAAGGCGCTGCATCGCTCCGGTGCCTGATTGCCCAGGGGGAATCCAGGCTGCCGGGCGAGGGGAAAGACTTGGGCTACATTCATAAAGGTCCTTCAATAGAGCACTTCGTGTACACAATCTCTTACGAGGGATTCCTTTCTGCTTTGATGCAACTAAAGCCTAAGACGAACTAGACCTGTCCTTTCTGACGCCAGGAGGGAGTGGATTTTCAGACGTCACTGGAATGGTCCCTGGAGATCTTGCAACGCCTGGAAGAGAGGGGAGCGTCCTGGCCACTTCTCTTCCATTCGGCAGAGAAAGGTGAGCGAGTCCTGCCTCCGGGGGGTGGAAAGGTGAGGTTTGGTGCTGGACAGGCATGCCCCACCTCTTTGATTAATGAATGTACCTGTAAGAAGGAACAGATGGGCTTCTGTAAGCAGCATGAAAAATGCTTCAATAAAAGCCGAGAACATCCCGCTTCTACCCTGCAGTATGGTGACCCAGCTGACGATTGGGAAGGACCGAAACTCAGTATTGTTCCCTCTGGTAGAGAAAGCCTCAGAGGGGACAGCTTGCTTCTCTCAGGGGTCCCCACAGCTAAGCACTAGCGCTTACTGTGGGCTGGAAGGAAACCGTGCAGCCCCTGTGCTGCTGTAGAAGTACGCGAGGTGGCGTGAGGACCACCGCAGATGCTTAGTGCTTCTCTCTGGCTATTGCAGACCCTAGAAAATACCGTGTCCTGCGCAGCGCAGCCTCGGACCGTCACGTCCGGCTCTTGCCTGTTGCATTCTACAGGTAACGTCCCGCTGGGCTCAGGGGAGTGTTCGCGAGGGATGATGTGGCTGAGGGTTTGCACGTACAGCAGCTGGTGCAGAGGTAACGGTACTGCTGGCCTGTAGGTGAGCTGTGCAGGAGAGAATACCTGATCAGGGCAGGATTGCTATTTAAGGAGCCCCGTATCTTCTGCTAGAAGTTTCCCTTCAGCTTTGTGCTCCAAACAGGAGCGTCCCTGGCTGCCTTTCGTGCTCCTGGCAGTGCCGTGGCCCTGCACACAGTGGGACTTG